AGAGGGCCTCTGGTTCCAGGCCCCTACCCCGTGGGTTGAGGTGAGTGGACCCCATCTGCAGGCTCCCCAAGGGGCAGAGCCAGGGTGGCGTGTGGTCCCAGTGGGTACAGGAGTTCAGGCCGGGCCAGTGCTGGCCGGGGAGCCCAGGAAGGGGTCGACGGGGGAGGGGGGCGGGCAGCGGGCAATGCTGCTGCGGCAACAGCTTTTCCCCTTGAGGAGCTTGGGGAGAATCAGCGTTTTCCCTAATGGAGCTCCAAGCTCTGGCGAGCGATTTGGAGACTCACGTCGAGTTTCGGGTTCATTAGCTCCTGGCTCCAAAGCCGCGCGCCCGGGCTGTCTGCGTGGCCGCGGCATCTGCGTTAATGTTGCTGTTATTTGTGTGGACGCCGTGGGTGCAAACAAGGTTAATTGAAACGAGAAGGCCGTCTCCTCTGGATAACGGCCGTGCTGACAGCGAGGCGGAGCTCCGCCTGGCGTGGAGCTGGCTTCATTATCCTTTTTATTAGAGCTAATTTGGGCTCTAGATCAAAAGCCACATTAAGGGGATTGTCTGCAGCCCCCCCCAACCGGCCCCTCTCTGCTCTGTGCTGCAGTTAAAAGACAATTAGAAACAAAAAACCGCCTTTGTTTCTCTGCTCTCCCTCCTCAGCCCCCCTCCCTCCTCCCCAGAAAAGTGCCAGTGGGGAGCCAGGGGGACCGACTGGGGGCGCTGCCCCGCCCGCAGAGTACCCGGAGGGGGAGGCCCGCGGGGCCCTGTGTGGCTCCCGCAGGACAGCGGGCGGCTGAGGTCCCAGAGAGGAGTCGCTGGAAAAGTGGCAGCTGCGAAGGTCAGGGTGGGGTCAGAGACTCCGCTGGCGCTCGGGCCTGTTTCCCAGTGGGAAGGAGGGGGCCGTGCATCTTCCTGTCCCGGCTGGGCCACCTGCCACAGGCCAGGGTGCTGCCGGGCCCCTGCCAGGCCTCCACAGACCGGGGCTGCTCCGGCAGCTCCCTGCCCGCTGAGCCCTCCGCCCACCCTTACCCAGGAAGGGCCAGGTCTCCAGCCCGGGACACTGAGGCGTCCACTCCTCAGGTCACTGGAAAGCCTGCCCCCGTGCGGCCCACAGCCTGGGACAGGCAGGTCCTGGCTGGGGCCGCTCGGAGGCCCCATCTCGGTCCTGAGCCCCTGGCAGGGCCTGCCCGGCTCCTGTCCAAGGAGGTGCCTGGCTCCTGCTGGCCCTGCTGTGGCCGGTGCTGTGGCCCCTCCTCCTGGGGCAGGACCTTGTGAGGCCTCCAGCCACAGTCTGGGCGGCGCATTCCTGGCTGTGGAGCACGTGGCAGGACCCTCGAGTCGGGGTGTTTACCTGAGAAGTGGGGTGCCGACGCCTGACAGGTGCAGGAGCTGCTGGCCTCGCCCTCACTGCCGCCCCTCCCCCCCCACAGATGCCCGTGTGCTCCTACTTCCTGAAGGGGATCTGCAGCAACAGCGACTGCCCCTACAGCCACGTCTACGTGTCTCGGAAGGCGGAGGTCTGCACCGACTTCCTCAAAGGCTACTGCCCGCTGGGCGCCAAGGTGAGCCCCTCCCCCTTCCTGTCCCCTCAGTCCCTGGCGCCCCAACAGGCAGCTGCTCCCCTGCCCCGCCGCTGGTGCATGGCGCCCGGGGCCTGCAGTCTGGCCGGGCTCTGAGGGAAGCGGAGGCACTGGGCAGGGCTGACCCCTTCCTGCCACCAGGCCGAGATGGGCCTGGCGGAGTGGACGGGTCACCTGAGGGACGCCCGGTGCGGGGTCGGGCGGTGGATGGTTATTGTAAAATCTTCCAGTTTAAAGGAAGATCAGAGCTGTGTTTAAGTTCTGCTGCTCCTGGAGGAAGTGCTTACTGAGCCCCTTTCGGTGTGGGCGCTGCGCGGCCCACATGATGGATAGCGGCTCGTAATTATAGATGGGAAAGCGCTGAGCCGGCCGCGCGGGCGCGAGCCGGGCCCGGGAGGGTTAACTCGATTCTCTAAATAATATGAGAAGTGCTGAGTGGGCACCTCCCGCCTGGAGTGCCAGCCGAATGGCCCCAGAGAGTTGGTAATATTCCACTGGATCGAGTGGAATTGTTAACCCTGCTTCCTGGAGCCAGGGCTTGTTAAAGGGGTGCATCCCTTTTCTTGTGAGTAATTCAGGCTGCACTGGCCTCTGGGCTGGGGCTCCCCGGCCACGGGGCCTGCTGACCCGCGTCACTCCGTGTGGTGTCAGCCTTTGGCTTCGTGCGTGTGCGTGTGTGTGCGTGTGTGTGCGCATGTGGCGGGGGAGACTCCGGAAGCCGCTCCACCTGCTAGTTTCACAGCTGCTGTGTTTGTCCTCTGTGTGCGAAGCCGTCGTCCCATCCGTGGTTTCTGGTGGTGCTGGCTCAGGTTGAGCTCAGTCCGGTTTCCATCAGTGTGGACTCTGCAGGTTACATCCCTCCCTGTCCCTGTCCACTTTAGGGGCATATGGCCTCGCCTTGCATTTGAGGCACTGCAGGTGCTGCAGGCTCACCTGGCTCTCCCGCTGCAGCCCTGCACCCTCCAGCCCTGCCTTCCAGCCCTGCACCCTCCAGCCCTGCACCCTCCAGCCCTGCACCCTCCAGCCCTACAGCCTCCAGCCCTGCACCCTCCAGCCCTACAGCCTCCAGCCCTACACCCTCCAGCCCTGCACCCTCCAGCCCTGCACTGGCCGCTCCTCCTCCTGGGGCCTGGCTCCTTTCCTTGTGTTTCAAGCCCTCGGTCTGGGCGTCAGGTGTTCCCTGCTTCCCAGTGCAGGTGGGGACAGATCCGTGCATGTGGATTATCCCGTGGCCCCCTCTGCACAGAACCTCGAGGTCACACTGCCACTGCCGCCAGCCTGCCTGCCCGCACTCCTGCCCTCCCTGGACTTCCTGTTGCTCATGCTGCCTGGGGGCTCCCAGCAGTGAGGCGTCCCCCCTGCTGCCTCACAGACGCTGTGTCCTCTGGCTGGCGTTGGTTCGCTGCCTTCCGATCGAAGCAGCGTCCCCGTCGGCCACCACCTGGTAGCTTTGCCTTTCAGCTGAACTCTTCCTGGTTTGGGGGGCACCGTTCTTCCGTTTTCCACCCTGTGGTCTGTTCTAGGATCTGTCCCACCAAGGCCACGGCCCTCATCTTCTGCCGCCGGCCCCAGGCTGGCCCCACGCCTGCCACTCGGGCCCCTTTTCTTTTCTGTGAAACGGGGATGTGGCAGAGCCCACCACGTGGGGGGCGGCAGCCTCTGCGCAGGCGCCGGGGGAAGGGAAGGCCGTGTCCGCTGCTCGCGGTCCACCCGCTGGGGCCAGGTGTTCTCACACATGGGCCCTTCCCCACACCGCGTGCGAACTGCCCATCCTTCCCTCCGATCCGGGCGCCCAGGGTCACAAAACCGCTGCTCTGTGTAAAGAGGGCGGTTTGCGTACCTTCCTGCTCACCCAGGGCAGGCGCACGCCCCAAGGTCTAGTCTAGTCCACGTGCAAGGCTGTGCAGCATCGCGCAGCCGCCCGCCTCCTCTCCGAATTGTCTGTTCCGGGCAGGTCATGGCTTCTCTGGTTTAGCGTGTTTGGGGGTCATAGTGTTGTGGTCGCAGGACTACATTCCTTCGACGGCTGAGCAGTGCTCCTTGCCTCCTGGCCCGGCTGTTTCACCATCCTGCTGTGCACGTTGGTGCCGAGTCTCTGGGTGGACGTGGGTGTTGTTCTCGGGGCAGACGCCCCACAGTGAAGCTGAGGGGCCGGCGGGTGAGTCTACTCTTAGCGTGTGAGGACCCGCCGCGGCTTTCCTGCGCGACTGTGCTGCGGCCTCCGGCAGCGTGTGCGGCGGCTCCCCCCTCCCTCACGGGGCCGCTGCCCCCCTTTTACAGTCGCATCTGAGGAGGCTCGCGTGAGGGGGGTTTGCATTTCCCCGGCGACCGGCGGTGCTGACGTTCCTGCAGGTGCTCACTGGTCACTGGGGTGTCCTCGTGTCCTTTGCCTTTTTGAACGGAAATGAACATATTCTAGAAACCAGTCCCTACCAGAGAGTGACCTGCGAATCCTTTCTCCGGCTCAGTGAGCTGTGCTGTCACTCTCCTGTGGCTCCTGCCGCCCCCCTCGCCCCGGGTGTCCGCAGATGCAGTTTTGTAAATTCAGCGCCATGCCGCTCCCCGTCCTGCCCTATGGGGTGTTGGGGTCTTTGGCCCATTTCGAGTTCATCTTTGTCTGTGGTGTTAGAGGGGCCACCTCATTTCTCTGCCTGTGGGGGTCCCGTTGTCCCAGCACCATTCGCGAAAAGACGGTTCTTTCCACCGACGGTGGCGCCCTTGTCGGGGTCCGTTGACGTTCGTGGGAGGGCTTGTTCCCGGGGTCTGTGCTGTCCCGTTGGTCTCTGTCTGTCCCTGTCACTGCAGCTTTAGAATAAGTTTAGAAATCAGGAGCAGCAGTCCTTCAGATACCGGTCTTTCCCAAGATTGCTTTGCCTCCTCAGGGACCCTCGAGGTTCCCTGTGGCCGTTTGGGGTGAGTTTTCCTAGACCAGTGATGGCGAACCTTTTGAGCTCGGTGTGTCAGCATTTTGAAAAACCCTAACTTCACTCTGGTGCCGTGTCACATATAGAAATTTTTTGATCTTTGCAACCATAGTAAAACAAAGACTTATATTTTTGATATTTATTTTATATATTTAAATGCCATTTAACAAAGAAAAATCAACCAAAAAAATGAGTTCGTGTGTCACCTCTGACACGCGTGTCACAGGTTCGCCATCACTGGCCTAGGCCTTTGGGATTTTGTCGGGACTGCCCTGAGTCTGTGGTTCCCTCTGGGAGCATCTGCAGTGGTCGGGCTTCCCGTCCACACACGAGGCGGCGCCTTTCATTCCTCTCAGCCGTGTCCTGTAGCTTTCAGTGTGCAAGTCTTTTGCTGCCTTGTTTAAGCTTATTTCTAAGTATCATAAGTGAGAGTTTTGAAGCTTCCTTTTTACATTGTTCACCGCAAGGGTATAAGGATGTAATTGTTGATTTTATATCCTGGAACGTGGCTGAATGTATTTACTGACCTAACAGTTACTCTGTGGCTTCTTCTCTGCTAACAGATCATTTTCTTTCCTTTTTATCTGGATGCCTGCTGTTTTTTTCATCTATTTTTGCCTCATTGCTCTGCCAGAACTTCCAGTACTGCGTTGAATAAAAGTGGCAGAAGGGGGCGCCCTTGTCCGCTTCCGCATCCTAGGGGACCGCTGCCAGCCTGCACCCTGAGCTGGCTGAGCTGCGGGCTGTTCGAAGGCCTGTCCTGTGCAGGGTGCTCCCTTTCTAGAGTCTAGTTTGTGTGGTGTTTTTATCATAAGGAGGCGTTGAATCCTGTCCGTTGTTTTGCTTAATTGAGACGAGCCTTGTGCTTCCCCTTCCCTTTGTCAGGGTCAGTCCGTCACAGGGATGGCTGTTTGGGTGTTGGACCATCCTTGCATTCTGGGAATGATTCCGACCTGGTCATGATACATAATCCTTTTAACGTGTGCTGAACCCGTCCTCTGGCATCTCGTGGAGGATTTTGCATCTGTGCACAAGGAGTATGAACCGTCGTTCCTTTTCCTGCAGCATCTGGGTCTGGTATTGGTATCGAGGTGACAAGTCGAGCTTCGCAGATTGCTTGGGCCATTCAGGTTGGCAGGCTTTCCTCGGACTCTCCAGAGTTTTGGAAGAATTGGGGGGGGGGGGGGGGTGTCTAACCTTTCCATGTTCAGGAGATTCCCCGGGAAGCCATCTGGTTGGGCCTTTCTTGCTCAGAGGTAGATGCTGACCCAGCCTCCTTGCCGCCCACAGGTCTAGTCGGCTCTGTTTCTTCTTGCATCAGGCCTGGTGGCTGTGCGCGCAGTTGGTCCACTTCACGAAGCTGTCAGGGCCCGTGTGTAGGAGAGTGGAAGTGTCCCTAGTTACCCCGTGTCTGCAGAGACAATTATCCCATGTCCACTCCTTACTGGAAACGTATGACTTTTCTCTTCTTTGTCTGTTTTGCTAGAGGTTTGTCCATGCAGGGCCCCCTGGCTCGCACCCCAGTATGGCGGCTTCTGGTCCCTGTGGCCGTGGGGCCAGGTGGGGACAAGAGTGGGCCAGTGCCCAGACCTCCTCAGAGCGTGGACGAGGGCAGGAGGGAGGTCCGCTGGAGGGCGGTGTCCCTGGCCACGGCCACGCATTCTCGGTGTGTGGCTGCCCCCGAGCACGCAGCCGCTCCGGCGCTGGCGGGTCTGAACTCGGTTCTGGGTGGGCTCAGTGGGCTTGGCAGTGGCTCTCCTCCAGGTTCGTCTCTGGGGGTCCCCGGCTGCCTGCTGCCACCACGTGAGGGGCAGTTGGGGTGCCCAGGCTCGCAGCATCTGCCCTCGCCCCTGCCCTGCCCACGGAGCCAGCTGCAGGGAGAGGGGGAGAAAGGACCCCCTCGGCTGGAGGGGGGCCCACGGCAGGGGCTGAAGCTGTGCCCGGAGCGCCTGCCCCTCGAGGGTATAATTAGCCACCCTGACAGGTGTGGTGGATCTGGTGGCAGTGGCCTGGGGTGACCGGCCGCACCCCTGGGCTTGAAGCCTGAACCCCTCCCAGTGAGGTCCTCCCAGGCCTCAAGGCCCAAGTCCCACTCACCCCATTCCTCACCCCACCCTCTTCCTCCAGGACGGGCAGCTGTGGTCAGGAGGAGGGGTTCACACCCCGGGCACCCCCACCCAGCTTGGCAGGACCCCCAGGCCCTCAGTTCCAGCAGGGCGCTGCCCTCGCCATACGGGTTGCTCAGGGCACATGCTGTAGAGATTGCAGCTGGAGCCCCGGCCAGCGCACAGGGAGCCTGGGCTCCAGCCGAGCAGGAAGGCTGCCGCCCCACGAGGCCTCACCAGCTGTGCCCTCTTCCCCCAGTGCAAGAAGAAGCACACCCTGCTGTGCCCCGACTTCTCCCGCAGGGGCTCCTGCCCCCGGGGCGCCCAGTGCCAGCTGCTCCACCGCAACCAGAAGCGCCCCGGCCGCCAGGCATCTGCACCCCCAGCCCCGGAGCCCAGCAACGTGCCTCCCAGGAGCAGGGCCTCCACTGGCCATGGGCCCAGGTGAGGGGGGGACATTCAGGGCCCCTGGGCAGCCCCACATCCCACCCAGCTCTTTTGGCTTCAGATCCTAAAAGAAACCTCAGCCCTAAGTGGCCTCCAAGCTGGACAGAGCCAAGGGCATCCCTGGCCCCAACCAGCTAGTGTGGTGCTGCCAGCCCCTGCCCCTGCCCTGCCCCTACCCCAGGGAGGAGGTGGGGGTCCTCAGCCATTACTCCCACTCCCAGGGGAGGGCCTGCTGAGGTGGGGCCTGTGGCTCACCCGCCCGAGGGTGGGAAGGAGCCTTGTGGAAGAGGAGGGCAGGCTCAGGCTGGCCTGGCACCTGGATGGTGATGCCTAGTGGCTGGGGGGCCAGGAGGGGGCCGCTGGGAGCCTGGCCGCTGGGAGGGGATCTCCAGGTGGTTGGCCGGGGCCTCCAGACCTGCCCTGCGGAGCGGCCGCCCTTCACA